GGGATGGCTTAGAACAAAAGAAATTCATTTCTCACTGTTCTGGAGACAAAATCAAGGTGTCAGCAGGGCTTTCCTTCCACTGAAACCTGCAGGGAAAATCCTTTTTGCCTCTTCCTAGTTTTAGTGTTCTTTGGCTTATAAATGTATTGCTCTAGTCTCTGACTGTCATATATGGCATTCTCCCTGTGTGTGAAGCTAGTGATTGGATTTAGGACCCACTGTAGTCTAGTATGAACTCCTCTTAATCTACAGAGATTAAGGTTTGGGAGTAGAACCCATTACACTTCCTTAATCAACTGGTCAGTTAACATCACCAGTAATAAAATAACGTGAAGCCACATGCCCCCAATACAATGTACCAGGAAGTGTACTTCACTTCGCTAGTGTTCTTGCCAAAAAATACATGATAATTAAATCTAATCATGAGAAAACATCAGGCAAATCTAGATTAATAGACAATAAAACAAAATAACCCACTATTCTTCAAATGTGTCAAGCATGTGAAAGAATGAGGAACTATCACAGATTGGATGTGGAAACCGGTGATTTGACAGTGAAATATAATGTGGTGCTCTGGATCAAATCTTGGAATAGAAAAAGTTCATTAGTGGGAAATCTGGTAAAATCCCAATAACTCCTTGATACTTTAGTTAATAATGCTGTAGCAATGTGACTATCTTAGTTTTGATAAATGTGCTGGAGTTATGTAAGATATAATAGTGGGGGGAAGTAGGGCAAAGTGTACATAGGAACACTGTGCTACTTTTGATATTTCTGTGAATCTAAAATTACCACAAAATCAATTTTTAAAAAAGAATGTATAATTGAATGATTAGAAAAGTTCATTGCTTCTTAGAGACAAAGGGGAGGAGTAGGAGAAACTGTCTAGTGAAAGTATACTGTCTTGTGAGTCCTATTCTGGGCTCTCTAAATTGAGATGAGACCTTGCTTTTCACAGAGTACTGTGCTGTGTGCTCACTGTGATCAACTCAAGTAGAATTGGTGGCAGTGGAGTGAGAGCTGCACAGTGTAGTAGATGATCAGATTTTGCCTCTGTCACCTGATATACGTGACCTGTGTTCTTACATAATAGGTGTTTCTGCTCACTGAACCATAGCTTACTACCCTGAAAGTGAGTGATCATTAGCTCTTTCATAGACCAAATGCATGTAAAGCTCGTAGCCCAGGGTCTGACTCAGATAGTACTGCCCCAGGGCACTGTTAGATTATGAAAGGATAATTTTCCCCTTTTTTCAGTTGAAGAAACTTGTTGCCCAATATCCTCTAGCTGGTTTAGTGAGAACCACACTAAAACAGATTTATCTTTTACATATGGCTCATTCTCAATCATTTAGTTAGAAAAATATTAATCAGGAAGGAAAACAGGGAGGAATTCTTTGAGGTACAAGATACAAAGAAGATATTAGTTCCCTCCAAAGTGGAGGTGTGGGCCTATTTGAAATAAAGCCATGAATTGGAAGGAGGCAGAAACCAGAGTAAAAGAAATTGCTGGTACACAGTGAGAGAGGCCATGAAAGGTGGGGACACCTTGGCAGTAGCAGGTGTCAAAGGAAGTGAGAACCTAAACATGTTTGTGGTCACCCAGTTTTAAAGGGTGAGAATCTTGGACACAAACTGTAAAACATTATGATCCCTTCTTTGGCCCTAAAAATGAGGGTGTTACAGTTGAGGCAATTGTAATGTGCTTTATACTTCCTTGAGCCAGCTTTGACAATTACCATCCTGTGATCAGTCTGCTTTCCATGCATCTACTTTCCCAACCCCATATTAATTTTGGCAGTGTAACACTTCTGTTTAATGTCTCTTTATTCATATATGTTAATGGTCATGGAAAGTTTATACTATGTTCAGGCTGATTTGTTGGTAAGTTGAGAAAATACAATGCAGTAGGTTAGGATTTACTTAATTAAAGGGTAAGTCAAATATAACCCCCGCTCACGAGGGGAGGGTTCTGCATGCCCAGTGGCACAGAGAAGATTGTAAACTGGCCTGTGTCACCTTTCTGAACCTGAAGATTATCAAAGAGCACTGTGGAGGATGTCAGGCCTAGTGTGTTGTCTCTGGGACTGTCACAGTTCAGAGTCATCATGTTTCAATGATGGGGGGGGAGGAGTATTTTGTGGCATGTGAACATTATGTGATATTCAGGTTTTAGTGTCTGTAAATAAAGGTTTATTGAACATGGCCACACACATTTATTTATATACTGTTTATGGCTGATGGCAGAGATAGAAGCTGAATGACCAGCAAAATCTAAAATATTTACCATTTGCCCCTTACAGAAAAAGTTAGCCAAGTTCTGGTGTAGGGTGTGGGCTCTAGAGACAGCCTGCCTAGGTTTAATGCTGGTAACCTTTTATAGCTGAGTAACTTTAAGTGATTTGTTGACTCTGTGCCTCAGTTTCCCCCTTCAAAATGAGGTTCATAATAGTAGATGCCTTGCAGGGATGGTAGGAGGATGAATTAATAAATAGGTGTAAAACACTGAGAAAAGATCCTGAAATAAATGCCGCTCATTATTATTGTTTAATAGAGCTAGGACTTCTCAATCATTGAGACTGTATTTTTCTGTTTAATATGATGATGAAAGTTTCAAGAGAGCTACTAGATGGATATATATATATATATATAAAACCTCTGGAGGTATAGTTCCCAACATACCTCCTGCCACACAGATAGAGCTCTACATAGGATTCACTGCTCTTTCCAAACATTTGAATGACCTTTTTATTACTCTCAACTCATGGGCATAGTTGAGTCTGACTTGCACCTAGCCAAGTACAGAGCAGCCCTGTCAAGCAGGGAAGCAGTTTGAGTTTTGTGCTATGGCTGCATTCTGGCCTCTTCTGGGTTATGTTTGTGAATCAGTGAAAGTAGTGTCAAGGCAACTAGAGACATGAGGCGGAAGACCTAACCCCCTCTGGCTGCAAAGATGAAATTCAGGATGAATGAGTCAGGTTTCCTCTCTGCCATGTCTATTAGGGTAGAACTATTTTGAAAAGAATAAAAAATCATGCTAGATCATATTGATAGGATTATATTTTACTTGCTTTAACTGATGCCTGTTATTGCATCCCCCAGAGAAGGAATATTAAAATCTATTTAATAGAAATTTCACATTAAAAGTAAAACCGCATGAGTGCTCCACCTTTTTTACTCAAGCATAAACGATATTTTAAGTTGCTTAATCAATTCCTTGTGAAAAATCATACCTCTACCCCTAACTTTCTCCATTCTCTCCTTTCCTTCCTTTTCTTTATCCTCCTTTCCCTCCCTTCCTTGTCCTCCTTAAAGATGAAAAGATTTTATAAAAGTCAATATTCATTCCTATAAAAATTCACAGCAAACTTAGTGTAGAAAGGAAATTTCTCTGCTTGAAGAAGGGGATTTCTTTTCTGTTGTCAGCAGACACAATACTAAATGATGAAATCTTCATAATAGTCACTTGAGAATCAGAAATTGGACTAATAATATCTACTTTCAGCTTGTAAACAATAATATATTGGCCAACCTGGGCCTCACCAGTGATGTAAAGAAAAGAAAAGAAAAAAAAAAAAACCTTGTTGTTATTCATAAAATACTCCCTATACAGTACCATTTTTGTTTTTTGTTTTTTTTTTCCAAAAACCTTTCTTGGTGAGATGTCCTACTGCCTTGACTTAAACTTGTTCCTGAGTTTAGCATTGACGTTGCACAGCTCAGTCTGCAACTGAATTGCTGGACTAGGAATCCTCTATAGGCTTTATTCTCTCATCTCTCTGTAAAGCCCAAAAGCTTTCCTGGTATTGCGTTTGCTAGTTCTCAGTGGAGCAGTTTAACTAGAACCTGGAAACATTTTCCCTGAGGGCCCTTTTAGACAGCAGTAAAATGTAGCTGGAGACATACCGAGCAAAGAGAAAAGAAAAATCAAATTAGGCCAAGAATTTTTTTAATCTTTCATTCTCTCTGAAACCCTCCAGGAGAACACCATAATTCATACTTGCTCCTATGGGTGAGACATAAAGCCTCCTCCATAGATCCAATAACCTGTAAATGTTCTGGTTCAGAAATTGCATCTGCTGGATCACAGCACTGAATCATGCAGCAATTGTTTCTGGATCGATTGTTCATTACTTGGGAATGTCACATTGCCAGAGAGCAGTATGATGTTTACTTCCAAATGGGCAATGCTTTACGAAGGGCGTTTTAATTGCAATCCATACGGCAGCACTACATTTAACCTGCAAAAGGGCAGACATCTGCATTGTGCAGAAATGCCCAGTTGGGTTATGTAAAAAGAACAGCAAAGTCAGCAGCACCTTAGAAAAGATGACACAGCAAGTGGAACAGAACTAAATCTTCCCCAGTCCTGCCAAGCATGCAATGCTCCCTGCCTCCTTTTAAAGAAAGAGCGCCAACTGGCATTTGCCCTGCAATCTCCCCTTCTGATACAGAGTCTGTGACCCAGCAGCTTTAGCCAAGCAAAAATGGAGACCCAGAGGTCTCCAGACTCTGAAGTACATGCACGATTATCTATGACCAAGTTCTGCTCCCCTAGGATATCTTGTTTGCTGCAGTGCAGTTTGTGTCACCAAAAGTGGTTACATCACAACTCTGGCATTTCTAACCTAGAGCAGGAGACATTTAAAGAAATTCAGGGTATGCTCAAGAGGATATGTGTGTGATGTGTGTGTGTGTGTGTGTGTATGCATGTATGTGTGTGTTCAGTATGCTGGTGGTGCAGCTATGACGTAAAACAAAATTTTTTTTTAGAGATTCTCTGGGCACAGATGCTCAGGAGCCAGGCATTGGACAGTGAGCATCCTGACAGGCTCTGCCACCTGGAAGTAGGGCTATTGGAAGCTTTCTCTTCAGTTCTTAAATAATTGTGATGCTGTGTCTCTCGTGATGAGAGATTCATCCTTTGTATTTTGGATCTGAGCCTTCCCCAGTGTTTGGAGTTTCCTGCTGTCTATTCATTTCCGTATGCCAAGGAGCTACAGAGGTATCCAGCAGCCTGGATTCATCCTCTATCTTGGAAAAGTATTTCACTGCTTTGAGAAATTCTGAAGACTCTCCTGGCCACATTGTGGGCTTGTTTTGAATGGATTGTTTTTTTTTAATTTTTCTATTTAAATGCTAGGAAGGCTGGGTTTATTTCAAAGAAGATTTCTGATTGCTGAGGCTAGCAAGGGCATAAAATGACTTGAGATTTTCTCAGCAGAATTCCAGATTCAGGCAAGATTTTTCTAAGCACCTACTATGTTCAAAACATCCTGTAGGGATATTCTGGAGAATCTAAAGTTCTGCCTTAACCCTCTAAACTTTGAAAGCAATGGCTGAAAAAGAAAGATGAGCATCTTGAGGCTCCCTCTGGAAATGATCGAGGCTCACCACAATTTGCAAGTTTGGCTTTCTCCGTCAAAAGTTGGTGACTTCATGGGCTGCCCAGCGTCTTCTGCAGGTCAGATGGAGCTTAGGAAGACAAGGGTAACTGTTCTCTTTGTCTTTGTAAATTGTTTTGTCTGACATCTGTTTCTTTCCCACAGTCAACTGTATTTATTTATGTAATTCGCATCTACAAAGTCATTAGGATGGATAGACTCCCTCTCGCTCATCAGCTTGCTTTGGGATAACTTACAGATTTGCAAATAATGTTTATTGTATGTGTTTTTCAAACCTGTGGCTATAGTGGCTATGGATGGTATAAACCCCCACGTTTCAGTTTTCTCTCTGTACATTTTCCTTTGTTGTCCAGTTGCTGTGTATAAGTATTAATATGTGCATTTCAAATATGCTATAGATAAAAGATGCTTTCTTAAGAACCCAGTTTATAGAAAAGCTTCTTTAAAAAAAAACAATTTTTAATTCAGTGATTTAAAAAAAAATTCTTTATGCTTTAAAAAAGCCATCACACAAAATAAATTTGAATTGCTTCAGGCAAGGTGAGCAAAAGGGTTTTGAAAGATGAAATCAGAAGCCTCAAAAGGCAACTGCCTGACAAGGTCATTGGATGGGAAATCTGAAACTGCTTTTCTCCACAGGAGGGGTTGGGGAGAATGAATGGAAAAAAATGCTAGCAGATATAGGCATAAAAGAGCAGATCCCTGTTTGCTGTCTGCTCAGAGGCTGCTTCTGCTGACATCCCCCTGCCATTTCTCCTTCCCCCTCTCCCAAATTAGGTTCTCTCTGCACAGGTAGAATGAGACCGGACACTACCTGCATTCTGCAGATGGGTGTGCAAGTAACAGCTTGTGGAGTGAGGCATTATTATATAGTGGAGTTATGTTGTCTTCAGATTGACCTTGACATTTTCTTTCCTTTTTTTTTTTTGTTTTAACCCTACAGGAGCCTAGTAACAAGCGGGTCAAACCCCTTTCCAGAGTCACATCACTAGCAAACCTCATCCCCCCTGTGAAGACTACACCATTAAAACGCTTCAGCCAAACCCTGCAGGTAAGAAGGACCTGATGGAGCTGAGCCATGTTTGCAGAAAACCTGTTGTGCAGGGGGAGACAGTTCTGTCCTACCCTGAACCTCCTCTGTTAAGAATGATCTGAATTTATGTTTCAGGTAGATGAGAATGAATGAGGGACCAAGAGTCAGAAAGATGCGTCTTAAACAGGGGCTGGGAGGAATCCTTTTATAGGTAACTCACGGAATCACTTCTGTTGGGTAATTCCTTGTAATCATATTTGAGTCATGTGCTCCATTCATACTTGATCTCACAGGTTTTGCCCTTGTAGTAATATTTGAGTCATGTGCTCCATCCATACTTGATCTCACAGGTTTTGCCCTTAAAATATCTTCCAGTCTCCTAATAAAACCAGCATATGATGTGAGCCCAAGGGCAGCGGAGCCTCGTGGCCTAGGCCAGGGTCTGCAGATACATCCTGTGGAGGGAAAAATGCAGCAGCTCCTTGTCATCTCATGATTCACAAGCTAAGAACAGTTTCTACTTTTTAAAAGCACTGTAAAAAAATTTCAGAAGAATTATATTTCACGACGTGCAAATTATATTCAAATTTCCATCAATAAAGTTTTGTTGGGACATGGCTATGCCCAAATGTATTGACGGTGGCTGCTCTTGCCATGTAGTGGCCGAGTTGAGCAGTTACAGTAGAGCCCACCTTGCGGACAGGGGCAGAACTACTTACCATCAGACCCTTCATGGAAAATGTTTGCTGACCCCTGTCTAGAGCAAGGGCCCTGGAGTGAAGTATCTCACTTCACTTTATCTGACCTCAGCTTTATCACTTGAGACTTTGTCACCTTGTTTAGGTGATTTAACAGCTGAGGGTCTTGCATTTATCCCTAGTGGGTAAACTAAAGGTGATGCCCATAGTTCCATTACTGAATCATTGTAGAAACAGAGGAGTGAGAGCATTTGAAAGACCCAGCGTAGTGCTTTGGTTCTTTGTTAGCAATCACTAATTTACTAATTAGTTACCTAAATGTTGGGCATTATAATAATTGTCTTGTTAACGTGTGTTTATACATGTTCTTAAATTCCTGACAAAGTTTATCTTTTAAAGTGAAAATTGAGATTTGTCCAAGGACCTGAACCATCTTTATAGTCATAAAAATCCTCTGTAGAACCATGCCCACTAAAATGCAACGAAAAGACTTACCTTGTTTGGCCACGAAGTAATCTTTCGGCTGCCATTCCTTACTTGTCCCAAGTACTTTTACTTAGCTTGCTGTGTCACTAAGAAAATTGTGAACCAGCAGCCAAAGGATGTCCATGCTATGAAAATCTATAACACAAAAAATGCTTGAGGGTCTCCCTCACCCACTCCCATCCTTGCTTCTACACCATCCAGCCAGTGTGCTGTGACTCCACGTTTTCAAGCTATTTTGGCCAAGCTATTTTTCCTGTAGAGACTCCTCTCCAGTACGTGTCACCTGTGTTGGCCATACTTCTGTTAACTCTGCTAAAGCTTCTTCTGAATGAAAACCTAATTACCTAATTAGCTGTACATTTGATTCTATTTTTCTCAGGGCTTGGACCTCTGGGCCCCTGGTTTTCCTCTGCTCCCCTTTGTGGGAGAAAGGAAAAGGAAAAATATAAGGTTGTCTGGGGGAGCCAGATGGAGGGTTTTGAAGCTGGTGGAGAAAAATGTGTTTACCTTCATTCCCCCATGGCCAGTCCCTGCGCCCTCTGTCCAAGTTCATCATAGTCTCCCCCGTGGAAGATTCATCACCACCCTACTCGTGCACATCTGGTCTTTTGCTGAGTTCTGCTTTTTGAAAATTCTTTAGCCTACTGCCATTTCACCCCCTTTTTTTTCTAGTCCACTGGCTGTGGCTCAAGTTCACTCTGTAGTTATTCCCTTCCTTGATTAAAGGCAACCACATCTGGATTATAAAACCAGCCATCTCTGCCCATTGCCACTCATTGGATAGTCCATCTTCTATCCTCTACCCCACACACACTGAGTGTGCCTCATCATACAGGAGGCTCTACTTCCTGCCTTCAGGTTGCTACATCGAGAGTTGACTTCTGGCAGATTCATGACCACGTTTGATCCTCTAATTTCTCTATTTGATCCTCTATTTTCTTCTGTTTGTTTCCAACACTGGGAAATAATTCCTGCAGAAATATTTGATGGCCTTGAAAATTTTCATTGACCTAGGGAGCTGAGATGGAAAGAAATCATGTCATGTCTGAAATCCAACAGACTGAGGCTAGAGAGGGGCAAGAAAGGCAGATCAGACAGGTGGAAACAGCTTTCTAAAAATCTCACAATTTTCTTTTGAAAAAATCATCAATTTAATTCGCTCTCTAAAAATCTCATGATAAATCACCCACTCAGGGCTCTATTTATTAGATACAACCCAGCAGACATAGAATGACTACCAATAATGTTTCTGTACATAGACACAGATAGAACTTGAGCAATAAGCTTATGGGTTGAGCCTGTCCTTGGGGGTTCAGTAGATGGAAATATACCCCCAAGTTAGATAGCCATGTTTGCAGGTTGGTCCACAATGCTTGGAGATTAGCATCTTGCCCCCAGATATCTCCCTGTCATTGCCTTGGCACATGCAGTTATTTCCTGCACTAGTAATTACCTCTTGACTTTGTAACCAGAACAGCAGGGAGGGTGAGGATAAGGCCCCAAGGGGATACACCATGGTCCAGCCTCACACCCTTTCCCATTTTGTCTTTGTGGTCTTGATGTCCATTTAAACAGGGAAGAACAGAGAACAAGGAGCAGAGCATCTGACCCAAGCCTCTCAGCGACCATTTGTTCTTTGTCCGTACCTGTGTGTTACTTGTGCCTACAACTGAGGGCTGTAATTGAGCAGCTTGGTTTTCTGTCACAGGATCACATGTCTGTAACTCTTAGTGCCTCAGAGTCACCTGGATCCCTTTGAATATCCAGTTGCCTCTCTCAGATTGGGTTCTTTTTATTATAGGAGAAAGGTGACTCAAGCACAAACATCATGTTTTAATCAATAATGAAACACTTAGCAGTTCTTCCTGTGGGTCTTCTTAAAACCACAGGTTAACCCAGAAGAATGTCAGGTGAGAATATCAACTGGGGCTGCCAGTCTCTTCCAGAAAGGTTAAATACCCCGTCACAAAAGTGAGTGGTCTTTGCAACAACGGCTCAGCAAACGCTGCACAAGTTGTTCTCTTTTTCCTCTGCTGTGCCCCATATGGACTGGGGACTAGGGTCCCAGCACAAAGGCAGCATTTGTGGAAGTTGGGGAGGGATGGCCGACTGCATGGCGCTTCCTCTGCCTCTGAAGGGGAGGCTAGGGCTGCCTGTAGACTGGAGCACAGATGTCTGGGTCCCGCTGGGCCTATAAATCCCCCCACTGGCCAGCCTGCAAAGCAATCTGGCTCTGAAAGGAGCCTGCATGCTCTGTGCCTCATGTGGTGTGAGGAAGACAAGCCCACCGTGGCCAGCACACACTGAGTCCTTCCTGCCTTATAGCTGCAAGAGGTCGGGTGGCTCGTTGGAGCTGGGTCCAGGACATGCTGTGGTGTGCTCTGTGGACCCACGCCCCTCCTCTTTGAATGTGACCTTTTTTCCTTTCCATTATATGTTCATTATGGAAAAACACAGAAAGGGAGAAATAGAAACGAACACATATGGTCTTCCACTCTAAAGCCACCCCAGTATTTTAGTGATTTCCCTCCAGGGTCATATAGGTCTAACTATATAACATACACACTCTGAGCCTAATTTGGGGCCCCTCCGGCCTTATCTTTGTATGAGCTGTTTACTTTTTTGAATTAAAGCTCCTATGGGGACTAGGGGTGATCAGTTTATTTTGCCTTTCTATGGCCTCAGTTTTCAAGCTTTGTGTTTAGGTGTGTTGTTATAGCCTCTTGGAGGGGTTGTGCCTTTAACTGAAGTTAAAATTCATGTTTCTTTTAGAGCACTTTATGTTGGGGTTGTGTGTGTGTGTGTGTTCATGTCTTTGTGTTTTTTCTGTTCTTTATGCCATCTCTCATGTTCAGTTTCTCTTTGTCACTTAGCTGGATGAGAATTTTATTCTAAGGGGAAGTAATATGACATAGCTATCCTTGGAAAATGTGATCGTAATGGGCTGAATATATTATTCTGTGTTGATGTGATTTTACACAACTAGTTTCCTGTTAGTAGATATTTAGGCTGTGAGTATTTTTATATTAAATAACTCTGTATTGAATGTGCTGCTTTTTTTTTTAAAGATTTATTTATTCATATAAAACTGGGGTACAGGCCAGAGATGCAGAGGGTGAGAGGATTCACCAGAGACAGAGAGGGGAGCAGAACAGGCAGATCGACGAAGCACACCGCTGAGGGGAGTAGTGGGAGGGCCAGGAGAGGTCTGCTTAGACATGTGGATCTGCTCTGGGGCAGGCGGGGATCGAACTCATGCGGAAGTGGCTTAAGCTTCTTTGTGCTGTGCTTTAACCCGCTGCACCACCAGGGAGGGCCACGAATGTGCTGCTTTTTAAGAAACTCGTGTTATGATTTCCTTTCTGGTTATATAACATCACTGAAAAATACAGATGATCACAGCGAAGTGAGTAAAAGTCACTTAAAACTTTATCTCCCTGGCATCAAAAAACTTCTATTAACATTTTAGCCTATATATACTCAGCAATCTTTTCTTTTAATGTTTTTGTATGTATGTATACATGCCTGACATGTCTCTTTTAAAAATCACAATCATACTGTGTATGTCTGCATACCATATATGCTATTTTTAACTTTTTTTTTTAACATACTAACCTTATAATGTGAGAATATATTTTATGTTACTCTTTTTCATGGACCCAGTTCTTAGTGGGTTCAATAATGTTTTGTCCAAGGGATATGCCAGTTTATTAAATCATTTTTCTATTGAATATTTAAGTTGTTTCCCTTTTCTACCATTGTAGATAACCCTGTTTAAATATCCTGATCACAAATCCTGTGGTATATATTTCTTTTCCTAGATTATATTCCCAG